AACTGTGACCAAGTATGTTTGAACTCATCGTAAAACGCTGCAGTCATGTTTTATCTAATGTAAGCTGCTGTAAAACCGACTCTGAGCTTGTTTGCTGATTTGTTTGAGTCATAGTGTGATTTTAGTAGCTCAGCTCAGAGATGGTAATAATTAACTACATCCAGCATGTTAAAACTTCATCAGATGATAGAAGGATGTTAAAATCATCACTGTCTCTCTACAATAAGCATCAATAGCCTTCAGTGTTAACTACTTAAATGATGTTCATGAGGTTGCAGGTTTTGAACTGGTCCCAGTTTAAATCAGAAGCGTATTAATGCTGGATTCTTCTTAGAGCTGCTGGTGCTCTGTCACAGTTTACTAAGAAGCTTTGTGGACCTCAGTCATCAGTGATTCCACCTGTGATGAGTCCAAGTGTCTGATGTTAAAAGGTTAAACAGTGAAACTACATTTTCCTCCACCGGCCATGTGTTCATAGTTAGTCTGTTCATAGTTAGTCTGTTCATAGTTAGTCTGTTTATTGTGACATTGTGTAATGGGACATTTAGCATGTCCTTGGTCCAGTTCTAGGATTGGGTCTAACTTTCTTTATGTTTGCACAGTGATCTATTAAAGGTACATTTTGTCCCACTGTCCTCTTTTTTTTTTTTTTTTTTGAAGTTGCACATAACTCAACGAGGGAGATCTTTGACCTCATTGAACACCAGATGCTGCCAAAACTACCGCTGCCCATTCTGTTGCTCCTCTTTGTATAACTGTGAAAGATAAAATATATTTTGCCACAGCAAAAAGGTGAACTATGTACAGTTAATCTAAAATTAATATCTATTTATGCATTTTATTGTCCGTCTCTCTGTGTCTCTCTTAGGAGGAAGTGAAATCAGAGATTCAGCGATGGGAATCACAAGACCAGCTTACTTTTGTTGTGTGTGTGTGTGTGTGAAGTTTGTATTAAATAACAATATATATCTGCCCCCAAAGTTGTTCCTGTGGTTAGCCTCATTCCAAACTTTTTAAACCATCCTGGTTGAGATCTAAAGACCACAGAGGCCACAGCATATGATTGTAATATTATTTTACCGATAATGACACAAGTATGTTAATTATAGTTTGTTCAAATTCAAATCTTAGCAATCAAGTTATCATCATTACTGTAACAAGTAGTATTTTGGGTGTAATCAACCTTTCAAACCGTTACCTATTAGTGAAAAAGCATTATTCAGGTGGAATGAAGCTTTGAAATTAGAGGTACTTGGACTTGAAGTACTATTCTCCGTGGAACAGTCCTTGGATAAGCTTTTAAATTGTAAGTATATTTTGAGTGAAATCTTCCTTTAAAACGGTAAGTTGTGGACTTTAGTGATCACCTATTGTGCTAGGTGGTGCCGTCTACAAAAAAATGCTCTACACATGCGGCCCTAGAAGAAGTACAGTAATCCTGAGAGTGCAGACATATACTATTGTGAAACGTGAAGCCAACCAGGAAGTGTCAAAAACCTGCAGTACCAACACCGCCGACAGACGCTGGCTCCAAAAAGCTCTGGCTCCCATAGAGTCCAGTTCTAAGCAGAAAAACACAGCACATGGAATACAGCTTTTCTACAGCGAAGGATTCTTTTTTTTGTTAAGTTTCATGGTCAAACTCAGAGAGGAGGTGGCCAATCTGAAAATAATTCAATGTTGAATTTCATATAAAGTTTTAAAGTTTTAGTCCCATCAGGGGACGTGGCAGTTTGATTGACAGTCTGCTGTGGACTGACTGACAGGCGGTCTGGACGAGGCAGCTTCATTCACCGTAAACTCGAGTCTTCTCCTTGTTTATATAACTGTTAGTTTGTCGTTATTTATCGGTGGAGTAGCAGCACATCAGTTTTCAGTTCAGTAATTCAGACCTTTGGCTGACTGAATCAGAAACACTGAAAGGATTGTTTGGTAAGTAAATGTTTATTTTGTTGTTGGTGCTGGTTTAAAAGAACTTTATGTGCAACTTTAGCCTCAGATATAGTACACTCCAAAGGTTGGTGCAGTTTATTTCTGTGTGTACTGATCCGAGAAGAGAGTTAGCATCCACAGCCGCAGCCTTTTTAAAGTTAGACATAGCAGCATTAAGCGAACGATGTCTGTGTTGTGTTTCATGTAATCAGGCTGAAGTGTGTTGTGTTACTGTAATGTGGTCCACTGAGTTAATAAATCTGCCCGTTCACGTAAATGTAAAGTTTCGGAAACTTAGACGTGATTAAAACAGTAATGTTAACGTTGTCAGTAGTCCTGAATACCTGCTCTGTCTCTGTAAACTGTCTTCTCCTGTTAACTTCACACTCTGATCGTCAGCTTGGTGTTGTAGAGCCGGTTGTTTAATAACGGATTCACATGTTGTAATACTTCTTACTGCAGTGTAGACTGGAAGAACAAACACCCAGAATATGACCGACCTAGTTTCCGACACAACAGTGAATTATAATATTTAAATTGCAGCCCAGATAAGCTGAAGAAATAAAATCATGTTTCAAACACAAGTGTAGTTCCCCACACCAAAAAGACTCTTTCTAGTTCAAGTCAGGGCTGCAAGTGCAAGGCAGCAGTGCTACCAACTGCACCACCTTGCAGCCCAGTCCAAAAACATGTTGAGGTTAATTGGTGATTCTAAATTGTCCGTAGGTGTGAATGTGAGTGTGCTTGGTTGTCTGTCTCTAAGTGTGGCCCTGTGATAGACTGGTGACCTGTCCAGGGTGTCCCCTGCCTTCACCCTAAGTCAGCCGGGATAGGCTCCAGCCCCCTGCGACCCTAGTGAGGATGAAGCGATGTATAGATAATGGATGGATGGATAGTTCAAGTCAACCTTTCAACGAAGCAGAATTCAGCCTCCACACAGCATCATTGCAAAGAGGAAACAGCTTGTTCGATTGTTGGACGACTGCATGCAAGTCTGTGTTCGTAGCTGGTTCACCTAAAGGTAGCTCCGCCTTAAAGCTTACCCTGCTTATCATCTATTTTACTCTAAAATGGTCTGCACTTGGTAAATGGTCTGCGCTTATATAGCGCTTTAATCCAAAACGCTTTACAATGTGTTTCTCATTCACACTCACATTCATACACCAATGGTGACACAACTGCCATGCAAGGGGCTGCCTCCCATCGGGAGCAACTTCGGGTTCAGTGTCTCGCCCAAGGACACTTCGCCTGTGGAGGGATCAAACCACCAACCTTGCGATTGTAGGACAACCAGCCGTACCACCACAGCAACCCACTCTAAATGTGACCAAAACGAACACGATACCAAAAGTTTTGAAACTAGTGATTGACACCATGAAGGAAACTGATCCCAGAAGTAGAAAATTAATGAAGAAGTCGGATCATTTTCTCACAGACTTCTACACAATCAGGCTTGCAACCAGATAATTCGCCCCCTGGTGGCTGCGAGAAAGAATGCAGGTTTAAGGGATTTCCACATTGGTTTCACTTTTTAGACCTGAAGGCTGCATCCATTTTTTATACACAGTCTTTGCCTTTAGCTGATCATCTTCCATATCAGCTTTCTCTTTTTTTAAAAAAATCAAAGGCTGTGTGCATGTAGATTAAAAAGCTTCAGCTCAGAAGATGCACTCACCTGAACGTGTCTCCAGTGCGATCCTGAAAGTAGATGAAACCTTCTTTGTCGATACGCAGCAGGTCGCCGGTGTTGAAGTACATGTCTCCTTTCTTGAAGACATCGTGCAGCTTCTTCTTCTCGGTCTGCTGCAGGTCACCAGCATAACCAGCGAACGGAGCAGTCACAGATATTTTACTGACCAGAAGTCCAGATTCACCTGAGCAAAGTCAATACAGGACAAGTCATCTCTGGGGGTCATTAAAGAAAAAGATATTATCATTTTACATTTGCTGCAGAGCGAAAGGAACTACATTTAGAAGATTTAGGAGGATATAAAAATGGTTTGGGGGATTTTAGTGATGCACAAAAGCATTATCAAATAGCTGAAAGTGCTATTTGAAATGTTAATATGACAAGCAGACCCTCTACACCTGGCTCATTAGCCGATCTGTCCACAACTTTGGTCCATGCTGAAATGTATCATTCGCGGTGTTTGTCTTCTAATCAGCATCATGCAAAATCAGAACATGACGATGTGCTCCTGACAGTAATGTTGTTAGTAGGTAGTTTCTTGTACTTTCACCACTGAGGGAGGGTTTCATCTGTAAAAGCTTTACTCGCTTTGGCTCTATCTTTTGCTGTCTGCACATCCTGGTGAGTTTGTGAGGTAGAGGGTACAGGTATTATTGCAATCAAATCTTGCTTTTTGTGTTTTTAGAGGTTCCCTTCAGTGATCCTGAACGTTTTTCCATGTTTAGTTGATTCTATTTTATCTCTTGTCAGAATCCATATTTTTTGACAAGACGACCCTCGTCTCAGAGTTTTGCTACACAGTGGAATCACAGTGGAAGGTTGATCTTTACTCCACCAGGCTGTTACATTTATTTTGTACGTCATAATTGTCTTTGGCCTAAAGAGCATCAGATTTAGGGACACTGAGTCAAAAAGAAGAGTGTCCAACATTAAATTAGAAGATGTAATCTGCACTTCTGGTCTCTTTGGTACCCACAACTCTGCTATTAACGCACCTATGGCAGCCTCTATGCAGAAACCAGATGAATCCCTCACAGGCTCTCCTTTTTCTACGTTGTATTTTATCAGAGCGTACGGAAAACACCACTGCAAAACAAAAGAAACAAGCGTTAACATAGATGATTGACTTGCAGCTTATACTTCACAGTGCACGCTGAACAGACTTTACCTTGTGCAGGAAGTTGTCTCGACCAACAGCTCCCATCTTCCTGCTATAATTCAAAAAAGCCAAATTCCCCTCCGTCGCTCCATAAAACTCTTTGATATCAACATCTCCGAACCTTCTTAGAAAGTTCTTCCAAACGTCTGCTCTGAGGCCGTTGCCTAATGCGAGTCTTACTTTGTGGTTTCGATCACTGAGTTTCTGTTGGAGAAGAATTGTATTTTTTTTCCCGTTTCTGGTGACTTTTAATGTGACAGTAACATTGATGCTGTGTTAAAACAAACCTGTGGCTGGTTGCAGAGGTAACGCATAGTTTCACCAATGTACTGTACAACAGTGATGTCATACTTTCTGCAGTCGTCCCAGAACTGAGAAGCAGAAAACTTACTCCTCAAAACAACAGTGACACCTGCACGCAGCAAAAGACATGAAGTAGAGAAGATGGAAAGTAATATTAGTTAATGCACTTTTGGTGTTGCTCTTTTCTTTAGATTTGCTGATAAGAAGAAAAATGAAGAACAAACAGTGCATTGGTATTTTTTTCCCCTTCACACATAATTAGATACATGTGTGCGTACCTCTCTCAATGGCTCCCATTACTCCGATAAAGCCAGCGCCGTGATAGAGAGGGAGACTGTTATATATCACATCTTCGGAGGTCACTCCTGATAACGCCATAATTAAACCGTAGACCCACAGTTTGCCATGACTGACCACTGCTGCTTTAGGAAGACCTGTTAAAGAAAAGCCAGGGCTGCAGTTAGTGAAACTGCTGTTTCTTTCACTGCTAAATCCTGAACATCAACACCTGAAGTAGCTCACCCGTTGTGCCTGATGTGTATATGTAGGCTGCTGCACTCCGCAAGGTTAAATGTGACCTTAACTCCTTGGGTAGCGGCTCAGAGGAGGCCTGCTTCATTTTGTCTTTGAAACTTTGCACACCTTCAAGCTTGCATTTGTCGGTTAAGATGAAAACGGTGACCTGCTGCTCCAGCAGACTGGGCAGGACCTCCTCCACGGCATCCTGTAGTTCTGCAAACACAAGCAAAAGGAGCATGTTTCTCTGCAACTGAGTAACTCACAAAGAGGAATTAGTCATTCACATTTGTCATCCTTGTCCTCGCTCCCCGCAGCTGAAGCAGACTAGTACTGCAAACCAGTGGTAAAAGTGCATATAAAGCAATGTAAAAGTACTCAATTACATGTAAAAGTTGTGCATTTAAAATGTTAAATAAAAGCATTCTTCGCACAATATACTTTATCAAGTTCTGGTTCTACAGAAAAGTATCAGCTGTGATACATTTACAACATTATTTGATAAGTACTGGTGCGTATCCTGTTTTTCTTTAACTACTTTACACATGTTTAGTGGTTTATTTCCCAACATGGGTGTCTCCTAGAGAGTTACCAGATAAGTCTGAGGGGTCATGACTTGACTAGTGGTGTAGAAAAGAAGAAAATATAATGTTCTGTTTATGATTTCTACTTATTTTGTGGACTTTTCTCAACATTCTAAGTCACTGATCTCATTCATGTTGTTTCACTTTGTGAAATATTGAATAATTGAACATGTACGTGCTTAAAACAGTTCCGTTCAGTGAATCTGTCTCACTGTTTTTTATGTGAGATCACAAGGTAAAATTTGTGCAAAATCAAGTGCACTTTTATCGTGTGCCACTAATAAGATCATTGAGCATTTACTAAGGTTTGTTGCTAAAGTTTTAGTGACACAACAAACTTTTGACTTCAGAGGAGTTTTCATTTGCTGGGATTCAACCAGTCAGGCATTACACAATGATGTTTGTTTTTTTATATAGCACAGTTGTCACTTTTAAAGTTTACTGCCATGGACAACACTTCTAATGATACCAGAACGAGCGGCTTCTTTGAAAACTGGGTCATAAAACGACAGTAAACTGCACAGGGAGCTAAAGTTACACTTGGTTGCATAACACCAGCAAATCCAACCCTGAATTCTTGGAAAAGACTGAACACAAAGTACAGACCTTTGGGTCAAATCATACCATTCAGTGTTTTCTCTTAAGCTTTTACGGTGACACCCACTTGTGGGAAACAGACAAGGACATTATGTACCGTGGTTTAATGTTACTCTAGACTTCTGCATTAAGTCGAAGCATTAAGCAGCTTTAATTAGCTTCACTTGCTGTATTACAATGCTACTTAAACAAGTCACAACAATCCTATTATAACAAAACAATAGATTAAAACCCAACAAGTCCTCCCATCTAAACAAGCATGTCACACAAGGACATTTGTCTCCACCTTTAACTGTTTATGCCACTTGTTAAGAATCATTTGATTGGGTATTGACATTCAGAGACATTTTCCCCAGACTCTCACCTAAATGTATTGTTTTCTTTCTATTGTAAGGTCTTCACCTTACTATTGATGAAGAAAATAGCACATGTTTTGCTACAGACACCCCTACCCTCTACCTTGTTATGTATAATCCCATCACTTTTTGTAACTGTCTGCCAGACTCCTCATCGTCTTACCATTTGTTGTCTTCCAGACCACTAAATTCAACCGCCTTTTGTTCTCTTACCTCTTGTCATTGATTAGCAACTGCATACTAACTAACCAGTATTCACTTCGGTATTTCCATACAGCCCCTCCCTACGCTGTGACATAGCCTATAAATGTGTTGGTAAGTCCACCATATAGCACAACACTAATTAACACCCCAATACAGCAAACTTATACTTTACTTTACACTATATAAAGATTCCTCAGATGACTTATGCTGTAAACTAAAAAATGAAAAAAGAATGAAGTTGATTATTGAGTCCAGTGGTCCATAGAGGGCGCTTTCAGTTGGACAAATACGGCCGCTAGAGATCGCTTGACAACAAAACAGAAAATAACAAGTCGAATGCTGTTACGTAATCACATTCTGAGTGTTCTGTGTCCAGGAATAGACATTAACGGTATAACAATTCATGATACTTCAACTACCAAATGTAAAGTACTGTTGGTTCAGGCAACCAGTGACACCTCATCAATAGTAAGAAGAGGACAGTTTGATAGTTATACTGAGATGCATTAGATTCAAACTGATACCACAAGGTGTATCTGCATTAACAAACCCAAAGCGTGACCTCCCTGGCTCACCCCAGCCATCATTTCACTTTATAATGGGGGAGCCTTCACCCTCCGTTGCTCTCCCCATGGCTTCCCTGCAGGTCTCCCTGGTGGAGGCTTCAACTGACAGACACCAGCACCGAGATCAAAAAACACCCACGACTTTGCATCCCCCACCACCTCACAGCGACATACTTTGACCTGGCCAGCCACTCAAAACCCTAATCTCAGTGAGGCAGCTCCAAATCAATGCAAATCAAATTGCATTTACAAATCACTCTAACGCTGCACACATTTTCCAACATTCTGTTTACTAAGTTCAGGAGTTTCTTTAAAGTTTGTTTATTTATTTCATCTTATTAAGGTCCAATGTGTATCAAGGCCAAATGATTCCTTTGTCTTATTCATTATCATTCATGTGTGGAAATGTAAATATTTGTGTGAGTTTTTCATTGTCGTATTATCTTTGAAATGATAGGACTTGTTGTGTCCCCTGATAAATAAAGCGGTAACATTCAAAGCAAGGTGCCATGTTTTCAAACTATACCTTTTTCCTGTTGGCCAGTATTAAAAACAAGTCATTACAAATGATCAGTAAATATCAACTGAAGCATTTCTTTTGTGATAAATTTGTCAGCCTGTTACTGCACAGTATGTTATACATGGATAATAGGGTATGTTTAGCAAACACATTAAACATGAATGAGAAAAGCAGCGCAATAAAAAAGTACTACATTTGTCACCTTTACTACTGGAGTATGTATAAATATCTATAACACTTGGAGTGGGTTTTACAGTGTTGCTCAGTAATGAGGTCAGCAGCTACTTTCTCCACCACACAGTCAGTCATAGCTCACCTGCAGCTGCTTTGAACTCCAGCAGTGAAACATGTTTCCTGTGCTGACGTCCCTGAACTATTCACTAGTGAAGTTCACATTTAATATTTAAGATTCTTTTATTTGTTTCTAGAGCATTGCATGCACCGGCACCACCTCATCTGTCATCACGAAGACATACAGTCGTCCTCAAATGTATTCATACCCTCCCATTAAAGAAGGAAAAGAACAGCTGTCACTGAAATAAGTTGAAATTGACAAAAGTAATAATAAATTAAAAAATAATGAAAATCGTGACATTGCTTTTGAATTGTAGTTTAAAAGAAATTTTTTTTTTTTTTAAAACAAAAAACAAAAAAACAAGCATAATGGGACCCGTAAACTAGTATTTTGTTGAACAAACCTTTGAGACAATTACTGCAATCAAGTGTTTTCTGTAACTCTCAGGCTTCTGCACCTTTGTTTGTTTGTTTTTTAAAATTATTATTTTCACCCACAATTCAAAAGAAATGTCTTAATACACTAAATTATAATTTAGCAAATTTTTAATTATTATTACTTTTTCAGTTTCTGTTTATTTGAGTGATTATTGTGATTTTTGCCTTTTCTTTAATGGACGGGTCTGATCACATTTGAGGACGACTGTATTTGACTGCAATCTGCCTTTTACTTGTTTTTCTCTCACTTCTTGCTTGTATAATCCGGTCTGGGTTCTGATTTTATCCAGATGTTCACTTTCTTTCCCTGCTCATTTCTGTTGTACCTTCTCAGGCCAACATTTATTGTTTTCAACGCGCTTTCTAACCAAACGGAACCTTACCTTCAGCTGCTACCAGAGTCTTTGCTCCGCTGCAGTTGAAACAGTGCAGCAGAGACTTGGACCTGATGTTGTAGTTGAGGAAAGCAGCGGAACATCCGATCTTCACCAAACTCAGGAAGAGCCACAGAAACAGCGGCTCGTTCTGGAGAAACAGCGCGACCGTGTCTCCCTTTTGGACCGCCTCAGACTGCAGGAACACTCTGGCAGCCTTGTTGCTCTGCACATCTGCATGCTGGTAGGTGAAGGTTTCTTCTTTGAAGCGAATGAAGGGCTTCTGCGGCTGCTCCTGTACTCTTTCCAAGAACTTATCCAGGATCAAGTAGTTAGTCTGCAAGAATTTCCAGACTCGGCGACGTTGGTTTAATTTAGTAAGCAGGTATTTGACATCTTGCAAAAAGTAAGGATGTCGGAATAAAAACCCAAGTAAAAGTACTGCAGCTGCACAGCCGAACCAGAGCAACATGTTTCCTCCGTTAGTGAGCTGGTGTCGAGTGGCAGCTTCACACAGCTGGAGGGAATGTGGGCGAGAAAAAGAGGGTGGGACGAGGAGGAGCGCAAACACAATTGTACAGCATGTTTGGGACACATGTACAAGTTATCCAGTCTCTAAAAAACAAACGAGTCCAGTCAACGATTTACCTTCCGTTTGGGTCCTCTTATTGGCTTTTTTTCCCAGACTAGTCTCGGATCAGTAGCAGTTGCTGCCCTTCATGAAGCTTTTCAATCATTTGCTTGTTGGTCGAACTCGTCCAACACCAAAAGATAACAATGAGAAAAAAATGAACACAATTTCAGGCTGCAACCTGAAACTGGAAACTTCTGGCAACACAGGCGTTGGAAAAAGATAACAGATCAGCTACTTGTGTGGTTGATCAACTATTGCCAAGCCTGCAGGACAGAAGATGTTCTCAAAAATGTACCTCTGTTTAATCTGTTCTTGTAGTAAAACACAATCATTCTAACATTAAACATTACAGAGAGAATTCTTTGCAATGTTCTGCTTTTTCAGATTCATTTTCAACATATTCAGGGTTTTATAACAAATCAGGTTTTCCTCTACAGTTTGCAACAAGATTTATTAAAATGACTTCAAGCAACATATAAAAACATTTAATATCTATGCACAGCATATCTTATTACATTGATATAAAATATAAAAACACACTTCCTACTGATGCCAGAGGGTGAAAAGAGCACAGTGATACGAACTTTGAACCTTTATCTTGCATTTAGTGTGCTGATGCATGAAGGTTTCCGACGTCTCTCATTCAGTGAAACGCTGCCGGTTAACTAAGTCTTAACGCTTCTGCTTTGGTTTTATGCTTCAGAGCTCAGTGCAAAAGTCAGAGCACCATTGTTTACCAAGTGACATCTGACTCACTTTCACTGTCTCGTTAGGTGTTATATGTTGTTATATGCTTGTTGTAACAGGTCATCTGCACTAGTGGTGGTGTGGAATGCAACAAGCTTTTCTTCTACACCTCGATAAACTACGCCACACTTTCTTTTGAAGGGTAAAGAAAATATCAACACCGCTTTCTTATCTATTTAGTAAATATGAAGGTACAGCCAGCACTCAGGTAGCTTAGAGTAGAACAAAGACCGAAAACGTGATTTTTTTCTTTCTTCAAAATGGGAGGTGACTACACACTACACTCACAGTCAACGCTTTGACTGTGCATTACCGTATTTAACAGAAATATATGTATTTCACTGTAATTTGTAACTGTTTCATAAATAAAAATGTCTAATAAGCTGGAAAAAAAATTAACAACAATTTTTAAAAAACAGTATTTTCAGTTCTTATCATTTTGCTGCTTGTGATTTTCCTTTGGTGCGGTCTAAAACCCTTTTCTTCAGGTGTGGGAGGTTCCAAAAGATTTCCTGTATTCAGTACAGATCATAGACTCTGACAAGAAGTCCATCAACCAGCACCTCTAGAGCTCAGTAATTAAAACTACTTTCTCTGGCACACAAATTGTCATAAGTGCACATTGGCTTTGTGCAAACTGAACAAGCTATAACATGTGAATTAACGACTTTTAAAGGTGCTGGAACTGAGCCGGACAGAGCCATAGCAGCTGCTTTCTCCTGTTTTCAGTCTTTGTGCTAAGCTAATCTAACCAGCAGCTGGTTATAGCTTCAGACTTCAAGCACAAATGAGAGGGTGTCACTCTTCCCTGTCTTCTCATCTAACCCACCACAAGAAAGCAAGTAGTTGTATTTCCTAATGCATTAAACTATCCCTAAACACTGCAAGCAACCGTGAAGGCACAGGGTCTATATCTTGTAAACATTGTACACGTTATTCAAGGCACTATGTGATAAGTGTCGGTTCCATGCTCGTCTCCCTGCTTCACCTACATACCTGCCCTTCCTTCATCATTTCTGTTGGTAAAACGGGCTGTCAAAGCCGCTGTCCTGTTGCCGCTGTCTCAACTCAGAGAACAGAGGTCTGGAACAAACTCCCTGCTGCTTCTCACATTCAGAGCCAGGAGTCGGCTCCCTGCGAGTACTCATCTTTGCTTGGGCAAAGGTCTCGGTGTGAGGGGTCGTCTTGGCGATCTCATTATAAACAGTCAAGTCAGAAACATCCGGGGTGAGGCCGCAAAACTCACCTATATCGCCGACTGACGCCGCAGACAGCGAAAAGGGCTTCACTGGTTCTACTTTCCTTCCCAAGTAGGACAGTCTGGGGACTTGGAAGCCCGTGTCGGAGTCACTACTTGTCATGCTCCAGTCAGTCTGTTTCTCACCTCTGACTGGAGCCTCCTGGATCAGGAAAGGTTTGCTCTGTTGCTGCGACTCCGGCCGGCTGTCTGCTTTGCTGGACTCTCCTCCCTGCAGGTACAGCTCCCTGCTTTTACTCCTCACAGACACACTGACAAAATCTACATGGGACGAAGAAGGCATCTGATGAGCTGGTTTGTAAGTGTGGAGGCTTGTGGGAGCAGTGTGGGGCTTCATCCCTGCATCCCCTGAGGCCTCCTCCTTTCCAGATGCAGTGACGTCCTGGTGGCTCAAAAGTTTAGTCCTCACTGCAGCGGCTGGCTTCTGCTCTGAATCAGCAGAAGTCTTATCTCTGTGGGATCTCTCCTCTGGCCGGATGTCAGGAGGCTCAGTTAGGGTTGACGGGGTCTTACTGAAAAGTGCATTTCTCCCTGGAGGGCAGCCAGCGGTGGGCAGAGCTGTTGAACAACCTGTCAATGCAAAACCCAGATTCAAACCACCTTGATATTAAGGAGAGGAACCACACAGGAAAGCAGTTCTGTACAATAACACTCACTTGGTAAACTGTGGTTCTTCCCAGATTTACTTTTGATAGGTGTCTCCAGCACTTTAGCCATGGCCGCCAGCTTGCTTGCAGCATTCATTATTTTCTTTTCGGCACTGCAGTAGACAGTAAGATCAATACAATTAGCCTAAGGAGCAATGATGAAGCAAGCAAACAAGTTTAGGACAATTATGGCCTCTTGCCCTGCAGTCTTTCCTCCGTCTTCCAATAACTCCTGCAGACAGGTCAGATAATAGCGGCGCATCTTTCTGGCAGTGTCCTGCCTCTCCCTCTGCACCTCCATGCGGATCATCTCTGCTGCACGCTCCCGACTCTCCTGGAGGTAACGCAACATGTCTCCTGGCATGAAAAAGAACAATCACAATCTGTTTATTTACCAGGTAAACACAGGTGGAGGTGACTTGGTGAGGTTTGATGCACCTGCATTTCAATACAACTGCAAACCTGCATCAGATTCATAAGTGAGGACACACAGTTTGGCAAAGACATAGTGCTGGAGGGACTGAAGAAAGAGTTCATTCAGACATAACTTGACATTTCAGCTCCAACACCAACCTCTGATTTTTTCCACAGTCGTCAGATACTGCTGCTTCATCTCCTCCAGGCCTTGCTGAAGATTTTGTTGATCAGAGTTTCTGTAAGCAAGAGAAAATCAACAATTAGCTTCCTGATTATTTGTGCTATTTTTAGTCAACTAATGTATTTAGTCCTCTATTCTTTTGACTCTGTCAGTTTTCCTCAGCTTGATTCAATGTCTAAATAAAATTACAATCCAATAAACATGAATAAAAACGTAGAGGGACAAGTGTCAATGCAAATGGAAAAAGCTTGTTGAGTGGTTAAGCTGAATCTGTAGATATGACCGATACTGTAAGACAGTTTAGCAGATTTGTTAGTTTCATTTATTAATCGAGTAAATCATTTTTGACATAGCTGACATGCAGCGATGCAACAGTAACAATGAAAATATTTAATTTAATTGAACTTCAACAAATGGTAAGAAATAATAATAACAAAATAAAAACAGACAAACCCTGAGGATTCTTTGGCTCTCTTCACTTCTTCTAACTGCTGCAGCTGTTCCTCCTTCACCTTTTGTAAGTTGCTTTCATGTTCATCTGCAATAAACAGTGGTGTCTCCCATCAACACACATTCCATGTCAGCTGACTCCATGTATTTACAGTTAGAGAAACATTTTACATGTAACACATAAATATACCTTTGAGATGCTGCATGGCAGTTTTGTGTTCTCGAATGCTGTGTTGGAGCTGACGGCAGGCTTTCTCCAAATGTCTCTGGAGCTCCTGGTTCTTCTTCTGCAGCTTACTTACAGTCTCTGCACACTCCTTCCTACAACGAGACTGATCCTTCCTCTGGGGCAAAGAGCCTGGAAATAATGGACAATCATTTCTTATAAACTAGCGACGGCCCCCAATGTAATTTAGCATAGATTATATTAAAAGAATAGATTATATTATATTGATACAAGTAGAATGTTTTGATGATGGCTTTCTTAATGGAGAGACCAGATGTGATGAGATTCTGCATACTTTGTATTTTGTTGAGTTCTCTCTCATGCTGTTCCTGAGTTTTCTTTAACACACAGTTCAGTCTCTCTTCACTTATCTGTGGAAGCATAAATGAAACCTTATAGGGCAAAACAAACAACATTGTTCCACAGTGAAACAATTATGGCACATTCACACAAATCATGACTCAATACTACAGAATTTAGTTGTAGCAATACTTGTGGTATCAGAAAATGAGAGGCTGTGTGTACACTGACCTTTGCAAGCTGTTGCTCAGTTTTTATTACAATGTTCTAACCTGCAAGGTCTTTGTCAGTTTTTTGCGTGATGAAAACTTAAGGTTGAAGCATTCCATTTATAAAAACTTAGTAGCTTGCAACAGCCTCTCCTTTCCCTTTTTTTTTCCTGATGTTTTTTAGACCTGCAAGTGCACATTACCCTCATTACCTTCTGTCTCTCATGTCATGTAATCTCAACCTTTTCCTTTTGCACTCTCAGCAAGTTAATCAATAAGCAGAACTGAACCAATGCTCCTAAATCCTCAAAAGACAATGTAACTTACTTTCTTCCATTCCCTCTTAGCCTGTGAAACTACTCTGTTGACCATGTCTCTGCATGAAGTTTGGATGATGTGCGTTATTTCAGCATCTGATGTCGCCCCGCTGCTCCTTCTGGTGTCTTCAGGGCCCTGATGATCTGCTTTGGGATCTCTAAGAAGCTGAGACTGGACCTCTGCCAGTCCAGTCTGAAGCTCTGCTAATAATTCATCTCTCATTTGTTTTCTTTGGGTCAGCTCCTTGTCCACATGCTGGCGTCTCCACTCCTCCTCTCGAGCCCTCACAGTCTGCTGAAGCTTGGCCTCCATCTGCAACAGAAACTCCTTCTTCTGGAGGTCAGCATCCTCTGTGGCTTGCTGCAAAGTCTGCTCCAGCTTTTTGCTCTGCTCTTGCAGCTTGGTTTGGTACACTTGTTCGCTGCGGACCTGGATGATGGCGATCTCCTGCTGTTTGTCTCTGTTCCAGGCTGCTCTGGCTCCGGCCAGCTCTGCTTTCAACAGGGCAGCTTGCTCTCTGGTCATTTGCTCCAGCTGGCTCTGGAGAGCTGCCAGCTCCACTTGAAGTTCCTCCACTCTCTGCGCTCCAGAGCAGTGCTCCTCCAGCTGGTTCTTGTGCTTCTTGTGCCATTGCTCCTCTGCCTCCCTCAGGGCCTGGGACACCTGAAACATTTAAATAAAGATACATAGTCAGAAAAGCAAACCAATCAGATCCTCAGCAGTGCATCTTTTTACTCCTAAAAATAAAATCCTGTCATACCCGCTGTTCTGTGTGCTTGTCTTGCAGTTCTTCCCATTTCTCCTTCTCTGTTTGGAGAGAGGCTTGGTATTCTGGTAACAACAGCAGATCCTCAATCCAGCGATTATAGGCCCTGGTTACTGCACCTTCAACCTGAAAACCAACATGTTTATGTTCACTACGAACTTTGACAATTTCAAATAATAGTGCCATATATTCGAAAGAATGATCATGGAGCTGTGGGAATTTCAAAACATCATAGAGTAAATAAAAATGGGTTAACAGTAGTTTTACCAAAGTCTAATGGCTTTGGCATGAGATTTAGTTCTAATTGGTGCAGTCATGTGCAGTAACACTCCTTGCTAACTGGCAAGCGTATTATAAAAAGCCCACTGACCTGCTTGGCCATGTCCTCCAGGTGTTTCTCTTGTAACTCTCTCTGGGTTTGTTTCCTGGCTTCCTCTACAGCTTTCCGTCGGACTTTGTCAGCTTCCAGTTGCAGCTGCTCTTTCTGGGCACTGAGCCTGGAGTCCAGCTCCTCAGCAGTAATTGTCAGACTGCCGGCCTCAATCTCATCTGTCTGACAGGTCACCTCTGCAGTCTCTTGGTGTTTCTCTCTCCTCGCCTCCTCTAGCCTCTGGACCCATGTCTTCTCCATCTGAAAAGAGGAAAAAAAAATCCAGTTGAGCATTGCATCACCATTAGTAAGATGAGGGAGATGGACAGTTGTTTCTAGAGGTCATACCTTTTGCAGTTCCTCCTTCCACGTGGCCTCGGCTGAGGCGACATGAGATTTCACTTGCTGCTGGATCTCAGCCTGCTTCTCTTTGGACCAGACAGCTTTGAGCTGCTTTATTGAGGCTTGATGCTGAGCCTCAAGTTCATTTCTCAGCTTCTCCACAGCTGTACCGCTCTCCTCTCTGATCACAGCCGCCTCCTTCTCTTTATTGCGAATGCTTTCTTCAAGCAAGTCCTTCTCCTTGCAGACAGATATGTAACATTCTTGAACGGCCAACATCCTATCATTGGTTTCAGATAGCTGGGTTCTGTGATGGAAGTAAATGAAGCTTATATGACCTGCAATGGTTTCCAGATTTCTAAAATTTTCCACTTTAGCCGCAAAAGACTTACTGTAAGTGCTGAACCTGCTGCTGGTGCTGTGCAGTCAGCTGTTCCACCTGAGCATCGTTTTCCAGCAGGAGCTCTGTTCTGACCCGCTTCACCACATCATCCCTATACTGCTGGTTAATCCTGTCAGATCTAAACAAACAAACAAACAAAAAAACGCATATACATAATTATACAAACTCAAAATAAGGTAGAGAAAAATGCTACACGTAGTTTACAGATCTTCTTTGTGTCCTACCTCTCTGCAGTTTCCTGCTTTTCTTGGTCCAGCTCCTGGATCATCTCCCTCATTTTGGTGCACAGCTCAGAATTAGCAGACTTCAGCTTTTCCTCCCTCTGTTTCAGCTCCTCGTTCCTCTTTTCTAGCAACTAGAGTTTGGACAGAACAGCAATCTTTCATGATTTACTGTAAAAAAAAAAAA